GCATATGCGATCTGCAAGTGTATGCGCTCTGCAGCATATCGGATGTGCAAGCGTATGCGATCTGCAAGCATATGCGATGTGCAAGCATATGCGCTCTGCAAGCATATACGATCTGCAATCAGATGCGATCTGCAAGCATATTATGCGATGTGCAAGCATATGCGATCTGCAAGCATATGCGATGTGCAAGCATATGCGATCTGCAAGCATATGCGATGTGCAAGCATATGCAGACCGGACCCGAACGAGAGCTACGGCACCCTCGGGACCGCAGGGTCCGCGCCTCGTTCGCCGTCCGTCTGTAGTCGTAGTCCCGACGTTAGACGGACGTAGTCGTAGTCCCGACGTTAGACGGACGACGTTTAGTCGTTCCGTCGTCGGGACGGAGACCTTAGGCTGCGGGGGGCGTCCGCGTGTCCGTCCGTCCGTTCGTCCGTCCGGGTTGCCGTTTGCTAAGTTGCCGTTTTTCGCCTTCTTGTCCGCGGTTTCGGAGCCGCGCCTTTTAGGCTAGCTCCGTCGCCGCGTGGGAGCCGCGGTCGCCGGTTCGCGCCCCGCCGTCGTCGCCGCTTTTTGCGGTTTTGTTGTTTCGTTCGGCGCAGCGCGCCGAACGTGGATGGCACCGCACCGCACCACACCTGGGCACTGGGCACGCGCAAGGCGCTCCGGAGCATGGCCGTGTGCCGCTTTGTCGGGCGCGGTAGTTCCGACGTCGAGTGGGAGCCCCGGTCGCCGGTTCGACTGGTGCCGGCGCGTCGTTTTGTCTATTTTTTACGTTTACGTTGCGGCTCGCTGGCTTCGTCGCCCGGCGCCCGCTTTCTTATATTTTTCGTTCGGGAGCGCTGCCTTCGTCGTCGCGTGGTTCGTTTTTCGCGTCGTCGTCGTTTATTGTTCATTTCTTTTCGTTCTGGACCGTGCACTGCACACCGCGTCGTCCCGGACTGCACTGCTCCACGCCTGGGCCCGCGCAATGCGCCCCCGAGCATCGCCGTGCACCGCTTCGGTGTCCGCGCCGCACCGCACTGCACCGCGTTGCACCGCACCGCGCCACACTGCGTGTGGCAGTGCATCGCACCGCACCACACCTGGNACCGGGCATTGCGCGCCGGAGCATCGGCGCTCACCGCTTGTGGTGTGCGCTAGCTCCGACACTGAATGGGAACCGCGGTCGCCGGCTCGATCCCGGTGCGTGAGTTTTTTTGGTTTTTTCGTTCGGGACCGCTTACCGCACCGCACCGCACTGCACCGTACCGCACCACGATTTAACACGCAAATCGCAAAACATTGGCTGCACCGCACTGCGCAATTTGACATGCGCCGACTCGCGCATGTCAACGCGCAACCCACCACACAACTCGACGTGCAATTAAACATGCAATTCAACGCGCAATTTAACGTACACCGAACCACGCAATTTGACGCGCACTGAACTGTGCAGTGCTTGTCCAATGTTGTCCGTGTAGGCTGTACGGCATTTTGTGAAGCTGTTTTGTTCATGGACGTTGGCTCGCTACAATATAATTGCACCGCATATATATGCATCCGGTTTACTTATTTTCAGATACGGTTGCTTTAAAGCTGGCGGTTGTAGACTAGTTGCGCTGCCGACATAAGCTGCGCGGTATTTCGCGAAGCTGGCCTCTTTACATGCATCGGCTCGCTAACCGATTTTCGCCAGACGACAATATCTCGGCACATCAACGGTTGTTCATCGCCATCAATGGCTATTCATCGCCATCCTCGTCTGCACGTCCTACACGATACAAGGTCAGTCCACGTTGCAAAGCAGTAGCAATGAATAGAAACGACGAATAGCAGTGAGTAGAAACGATAGCAAGAATAGCAAGGAATAGAATCACAATGCGCACCGAAGTGTGATGCGCAACACAACCTGACCCGCGGGACGGTTTGCGTGGTCGGTCGTGTTCGCTGGGTCGTGTACCGCGTTTTTTTTATTTCCATTGAGACCGCGCACCCCACTAGCCATGTCTCGGCTCGTCGTGCTTCGTCATGCTGTATCATCATGCTATCTCTGTCACCGTGTGGGAGCCGCAGTCGCCGGCTCGATCCCACGACAACATCTCGGCACATCAACGGTTGTTCATCACCATCGATGGCTATTCATCACCATCCTCGTCTGCACGTCCTACACGATACAAGGTCAGTCCACGTTGCAAAGTGGTGGTGGCGGTGGTGGCGGTGGTGGTGGTGGCGGTGGCGGTGGTGGCGGTGGTGGCGGTGGTGGCGGTGGTGGCGGTGGTGG